GCAGCTCAGCGGCAGCTCAGCTCGGGCCAGGCATCGAACTGCTGTTGCTCAGAGCTCGCACTCTTGAGCGAGCTCTTAACCAACTGAGCCACTCGGCCGGCCCAAACTATTGGCTTTTAACTTCTATTTTTTGAATTTTTAGCAGACTGGACTGTGTCAGCTCATCTAGGTAGACTATGGAGATCAAAGAGAAGCCTGTGGCTCTTTCTGTGGATGTTTTATCTTCCAAAACCCTCCTTCTCAGGCGTTTGAACATTGACTCTTTAATTATCATGGTGCCTAGCCTATGCACTTGCATTTTCCTAGAAAGTGGAAAAGGGAATTTTTTTAGAATCCAATTATCTTCTAAACTCTAGTATTTGACACTGAAAAGACCCTTACAGGTAGTGTAGGTGGAAAAGTGGAGGGAAAAAAAACAGTTGTTCCCTAGAGATATAAGCAATATAGCTTATGTCTACATTTCTAGATTACCACATATCAGTTTGACTTAAAGGAAACTTTCACCTTTAACAATGTAGGGACTATAGAGAATACAGATGGTTAGAGGCAGAAACTGCAGTGAGGGGCATTGGTAAGCAGAGAGGTAAAAGTTTTCAGCGGGCAAAGGGACGCTATTATCAAAACCAGAGATTGCCTTACAAGGATTTACAAAACAGCTATTGCTGCGTGTTTTCACTGCGTGTAGTTTTCAAGCTTAAGGAACGTGATCCAGCAGTGTAATAACAAGCCTGAGTACAATGGCATTCTATTAAGGCTTGTTTTGTCTCCATTCTCATGTCAGTTGTATTTATGTTTAAGTTTTAATTGATATTTTGACTATGTGTTTGCCCCCAAGGAGATTTTGTGAAGGCTTTCATTTTTTAAATAAATTAAAAAGTGACATATTTAATATATAGTAAGCAAAAATATCCCCCATAATGTACCCAGAAATGAGATCTTGCTAATGCAATAAAACTTGATTTAAAACTATCCATTAGCAACATAAGCAAACCAAAGACATTATCTTAGAGACTTGGGGAAAAGGACACTAGTTTGCAAAGAGCCAACGTAAGGAATTAATTCTCAGATCTAAGTGTTGCCTGACCAGCAGAAGGAATAGTGAGGCAAACATGAAGTGGACAATATTATGTAAGTTCATGATCAGAAATAGCATATGAAGAAGAAAATCTCTCAATGACCAGTCCAAGAAGGTAGAAGTTGGTTTATCTTCCTCAACTCAGCTTAACACAAGAGCTAGTCCAACAAGGAAATGAAACAGAGGAAAGAGTCAGAGATCAGATTTTAAAATGTTATTATCTGGTATTTAAAACACATAGGCTCCCTGAATTTCTTTCCCTGGAGAAAATTAAGTGCTCCTGTCCCCCCAAGAATCTTAGAGATAAGACTTTGACCTTCCTAGCCTTAAGGATTCAGTTGTTGCAGCCTGCATTATAATGACAAACTGTTGAAATTGTCAGCTCCAGGGGTTATCTCAGTGATTAAGGCTAGCCTCTTTCGCAGGGGTCAGGCAAATGCATCCCATTGTAAGTATAGCTTCATACATAGGGAAGCTGTTTATAACAGCTACTTATCTACTGGTATGAGGTGAGTAACAGTAAGTGCTCATTATTTTCCATGTTGCCACTCATATAACCTTGTAGGAATGCTTTATCGGCTGGTAAATTTTTGAACTTATCTACAAGGCTATTTTGCAACCAGGGAACCTAAAAGGCATTTATTATACTAACACTTAAATCAATATTTCATGCATATAGTTCTGTCTCCAAGATATTCAGATGGAAGCAGGTATTACACCAAGGACAGGAGGCAAAGATATAATTTAGTAGAAAAGGATGGGAAAAGAACAATACTGTCCTTTTAACTGATGCTTTTGGAACAAGATATTTAAAGAAAAATCTACTAAAATGATGGCTTAATTGACAAGGAAAGATAGCTTCATTTCATTCCCTCTGTTTACACATGCTATTATTTTAGCCCATGGTGTTTTGTTTACTTTGGAAGGAAATATTTTACCCCCTCTGAGATAATTAATTTTTGTCAGCTTCACTGTTTATAAGGGAAACTGAGAAACTGTTAATTGAAATACAGAATGAGTCACTGTTTTCAGCAATTTTTGGCAGCATTCTAATTTGTGTCAATCCCAGCTTAATTATTAGATATTTTGGAAGCAGAAAGCATATTTAATTTTTCTCTTACTGAATTTTCTCTTCCTCTTTTTTTTTTTTTTTAATATGAGGTGAAACACCAGCACACTGAAATACCAGGAAGTTTATTGTGTCATGCTCAGCTCTTCATGGTAGCTAAATATTTAGAAAGCTCCCAGAATGTGGTCTTCCTCCTTTCTTCATTTCTACTCCTAGCCCTGACCAAAAATTGTGGTTCTTCTAAAGACTTTTAGCTTGTATTAAGCCACAGTATATGGCCCATCACTAATGACATCACTGAAGTAAACTTCCCAGAAGTCATCAGGGAGAACTCATTTGGAAATCCAATTGAATGTCACTTGCAAAGGGCAGGCTCCTAGAAGAGGTGATCAGTCATGCATTCCTGAGTTATTTGTTGTAAAAGCATTAATCACTGTGAACTCATTTGCTCCTAATGCAAACTCACTCCATTATTCTGTGGGAATTCTGTTCCAAATGATCGTTAATGTAGAGAGCGGAAGTGCTGACTGTGGGCAGGGTTAATAAAATGTGTCAGATCATTGGCCAGTATAATGGGACTGTTAATGGCTGCTAATAGAAGTTGGATCTTCCTGGCTGTGGCAGAATGAAGGCAGGTGGAGAGGCAGGTGGCTTTGCTTGGCAGACAGCCCCATCTCACACCTCCTGAGGTGGCTTCTGGGTGAAAACAGCATCGATGTCAGACCCAGCATTGCCAGGGCTCTGAGGCTGTGGGCTGAGGAAGGAGTCACAGGGTGGCCATGGCGAGGGCTCTGTTACCACACTCCAGTTGCTTGTGTGCCACATCCTCCTGCAGAACACAGGCCAGGGTGCACCTGAACACCTGCTGCTGTGGACACCCCAGAACTTGGCCTCATTCACTCCTCATTGGGTCAGCAAGGAGATGAAGACTGACGATCACATTAAGAGTGACAATCACAGCTAATGCTCACTAGAAGCTCCCGGGCCAAGGACTAAGCCCTTTACATGCACTTATCTCAATCCTCAGAGCAGCACCCCTAAAACACGTGTACTATTTATTATCCCATTTCATAACCAAGGAAGCTGAAGTTCAGATTCAGAAACTAGTCCAAGATCAGAATTGAAAGTGTGTGCCCTTAAACACCATGTTCCTTTATTAGAAAGAGAGAGACACAGAAGCCGTAGTCTAAAATCAGACCAAAGAAAGATGCAAGGTATGACAGTGAGCCTGGAAGTCTTTTCATTTGCATATCCAACCAGTCAGCATGTTCAGGACTAGCTTTGGACAAAGCATATAAAATCTACGGTTTGTCTAAAATGCTGTTCCTCTGGGCGTTGCTACTAAAATGTGGGTACCCAAGGCCTTGAAGGAACCTAATTACTCTGTGCCACCCAGCAGCACCCTTGATAGAGGGCCCCCAGGAGCTCCTCTCTGCCCAGTAATACCCTAAACTTAAGACTTGTTTCTTCTCATCCCACCTCTGCTCCCTCAAAACTTGACACATTTCCTGTTATCTGAGGGTCTGGGCGATCTGACTGTACCTTAGCTAGTTCAGGTTGGGCAGAAGGGAGCTACTATCTCCTGGGGATGCCTCTGAGCACAGAATGATGTGACTGACAGCAAAGATGACCCAGAGCCAGTGCCCAGGGTTCATAGCTGGGCATAGGAGCGTGGTGACACCAGCACTGTGACATTTCTAAGCCCCAGTGACTACTATAAATGAGGTGCTGGCATCGCTGCCTTTGGGCTTAGGAATGGGAAAGAGATGGAGCTTGCAGGTAAAGGCTGTGGATGCCAGAGGGATGAAAAAGAAAATGTAAAAAATGTAAAATAATACTAACATTATTAGATGTTCCCAATAAACACGGAGTATTACAGAAGGGCTTAATAAACGTGTTAAATAAATGAAAGGATATTGCACATAGACTAGTGTCTCCTACCTTTCCCAGGTCAGTTCCCATACCTAGAGGGGAGCAGGCCTTGGTAGTGTTTCCACCTGAAAACACCATTATTCCTAAAGTCTTGTTTCCTTGATTAGATCATTGAAACTCTAGTGTTAAGAGTGTGAACGTTGTGAAAAGACAGATGGTTAAGAAAGAGTGAAGTGGGGAAGGAGTGGGGAGGCATAGAGGGTTTTAGAGGGAGGCTTTCACATACCTCACAGCACCCACCAGCCATTGAAAGGACAGTGACATGGCACCAAGTGCAACGGGAACACAGAGATGGGCTAAGAATGCGTTCTCTGGGTCCCTAAATGTTATGAATATATATCGTAAGTGCAAGACAACGTGGCCCAGGATATTGATGCAATAAAACTGAGTGAAAGAAATTACCCAGAAGAAAATTCAGAGACAGCTTCACAGAAGATTGTAAAAAACATGGACAATGCGAATGCAGGGAGAGAACCATGTGTCACACGGAGTCAAGGCATGAACAGAAGTGTAAAGGTGGGAGTAAGTATGCTGAGTGCAAAGGAGAATGTGGGAAACAGCTTTGTTCCAGTGGAGGAGTGTGTAAGTGTGAGTGTGTGTGTGTGTATGTGTGTGTGTGTGTGTGTGTGTGTGTGTGCATATGTGTTAGGAGAGGAGAGCAGCAGGCAATAAGCAGGATCAAAGAGGGTGACAACATATTACAAAGAACCTTGGTGGCCAGGCAAAGGAGTTTGGATCAGTACGATAACTAACAGAGTCACTGTAGGTCCTTGGACATGTGAGGAGTACAGTCTAAGCCAACTTTTGGACAGTTCCACCTGGTAGTTGTGTAAGAAGTTAGACTGGAGGGGAAAGAGAGAATTAGAAACACTGTAAACAGCCAAGGCACCCTAACATTATCATTTGTCATCTTTTCTCCTACAGCACACATCCATATTCCCCTTCTCACTGGTTGAAATCATTCTCAGGCCACACTGCTATCCATCGAAGAAGAAAGGACTCACCTTGTTGGCTGTTGCTAGCCTTGCTTACATTGGCAGGTAGGACTTGCAGAGAAAATCAACTTACTCGTAGACTTGTCATTCAAGACTCTTAGGGGTATTCCAGGAGCATACTGTTCTGTGAGAGTGCCTTTATCTTGAGATAAATGGGGATTTAACCATCTTTAAATTTTCAGGTAAGAAGGTCTCTTATTGTTTGCTTTTGATTCTCATAGAAACATCATATGCACAAGTATATACAGATGTGTGCATACACACACATACACATACAGCAAGTCATGGGTTTTCTCTCTCTGTCATGAAAAATTAATCATTGCAAAACTACACATGTTACTTTCCCCAAGAAAATGTTGATTTTGATTCCATTTGCAATTGAACATTTGAATGGTTAAATGATCCAAGGCATCTAAATATATCCCATCTAAAACAGCAATTGGCAGGTTGAGGATGCTAGGTTTGGCCCATTCCTGTTGCCCGTGTCATTATGGGTTTATTTGTGTCAACATCTGGCACTAGAGCTCCTAGAGAGCATTTCAGCAATTGCCCAGTGACCTGCATAGCTGCCTCGCTGGAGGCATGTTAGATCATTTAAGTAACTGGCCTAGATTTCATCATTCAACCACCTGGTGACACTAATTCTCAGAAATGCTGCCCAATCATCTGTAATCAAGGGAAAGTGCTTGGTTGGCCTTTCACCCAGTGAACTGGAAAACTCCTTTCCATTGTATAGCTTTCTCATCCACTCCATGCTTTCGCTCTATTAAAAGGGCCATGCCAAGCACAATGCCTACAGATTAGAAGCTAACCATGATGTTCCTTCTCTAGTCTAGACTCACACAATTGTTCACGTCTGACAATGTGGGTAATCCCCCAACCCCTATGAGGGAAAGTTTAATTAATCACAGTGCTGTGTCAGAGACAGAAGCCAGAAAGAGAACATCTTCCAAAGGGCATGGGCTCACAGGGCCTACTCCATGAGCTTTACCAGCCTTTGTCTTAGAGCAGGTACCCTTTGTGCCAGAACTCAGAGGATAGTTCCTTCCTAGCCTTTGCTTCCCTTTTGTGATGTCTGCTCCTCCCACCATTCCGCACCCCTCTTTCCCTGAATGCCCAAAGTCTTTCTTGCTTCTCCTGTCTTGAAGAAAGTACTTGCTCAGTAAATCTACCCCAATACTCCAGTGATTCTTGTTCGCCAGCCTGGAGCCTTTGCATGTTAGCAAAGTTCATCTTAGAGAATAAGGTTTAACATGGAGACCCACTGGTAGATGATGTTTAGATGATGTGTTGAGAAGGATTCTGAAGCCCACCGGAAAAAAATTATCATTTAGCGACATCTGCCAATAGCACAAAAATGGACAGTGGCAGGATATGTGCCATGTATTTGCCAAATCTGGCTTAACCCAGAGGAATAAATTCCCAAAGACAGAATTCCTGGAACCTGGGATGGAGTAAGAGTATATTCATAAAGATATTTCTTCCTGCTTATGTTTTGAGAAGAAACAGGGTGGTAGCTAGCTAATAATGCACATGAATTTCCATACTCTTTTTTTTTGGTTATTGTTGTTGTTTGGTGGACTTTAATCTTATTTATTCTTTCTTGCCAAGTGTAACTTTTGGAGTTCATATATAAGATAGTACTTTTGATCTATTAACTTTTTCTACCTAAGGACTTGGCAGTTGAATCCTCAGATCTGACCCTTGCACAGCTCCTCCTCAGAAATCAAGAAGATACAAGAGCACCTAAGGCCACTGGTATTTGCAGGCAATTGCAGTGGCCGTAAAGATGAGCAACAGTGGTCAAAAGGGCGACTTGCTAGTGCCGGAGCACGCGTTCTAACAATGCAGTGAATTGTGTGGTTGGGGAAAAGAGTTGCAACAAGATGGAGGTCAGGTGTGAGTGCATCATATGTCCTTTCAATCATTCACCAATGCCAGGCACTGTGGTAAGATACCAAGCTTACAGCAATGTACAAGAAACCATGCTGCTTTCTGGGACTGAATGGGAGAGAGGAAAGGGCACACACAATGGGAAGACAGGGTGGTAAGACTGTAATGGGGGTAAACACAGAGTGCTGTGGGGTGCTGAGGGCTGGCTTCCTAAGGAAAGTAATGTTGAAGCTGAGTAGAAATACGTCAAAAGGCACGCGGAAAAGCTTCTTCTAGGAAAAATGGTGGCTGTGAGGAGGGCTCCCTGAGTTCTTCTCTGGAAATAGCCGCAATTTAAACAGCTATAACTCAGCAAACAAACCTCTACTCATCACACAGAGCATCTAAGAGACTCCCACGCTGATTACTGGAAGGTGGGCAGACCTGGCCAATGGGGGAAGAGGGAGGCGAGAGGCGTGGAGGTACATCCTGCACCCGTGGCTGCTGAGACACAGGGACTCAGAGAACAGATTGGAGAGTGTCCCTGCGGCTCGCTCCCTGAACCTCGAGGCCCGCCAAGAGAGCAGCAAGAGCGCAAGTTTGCAGTCTGAGGCAGAAGCTTCCAGCCTGGCGAGTGGGGGAATAGAGAGAGGAGACATGTGTGCAGAGGCGCGGTCTGCACCCGCGGCTGTGGAGCCAGGGACCCCAGGAGGCAGAGCGGAGAGCGTTGCAGCACTAGGGCGGGCTCAGTCCCAGGGCCCACCCAGTCCTATAGGCAGTGCAACAGGAGCTCCGCGGTGCACAGACTCTGAGGCAGAAGCCTCAAACCAGGCTAGCAGGGGAAGAGGGAAGCGAGACGCATGGAGACGCAGCTGCCACCCATAGCTGCGGAAACGCAGGACCCCAGGAGGCAGAGTGGAGAGCATAGCAGCGACAGGGTGGGCTTAGTTCCTGCACCCCTGTGGTCTCTCCCAGAGTGCAGCAGGAGCTCGGCTGGAGCATCTGAGGCAGAAGCCTCAGCTCAAAATGGCGGTGGGACTTTTTCTTTTCTCTTTTTTCTTTTTTCTTGGACAAAAAGGAAAAACTGCATAGATAAAAACCCACCCCCACCCTCCCTCAGAAACCTTGGCCCCCCGCCATGTCAGAGTCTTAAGCTGACCCCTGAATAGAGGAGTAGGATCAGATTACAGAGGTGCTCCTACTCCCAGGGGGTTGAGAAACTCAGCATGAGAAGAGGCTAATGAGTGTGAGCCTACCTACCCTGCCCCCACCTCTCCTGCACAGCTTGGGAGGCAGGGCAACTTCAGCTGCTCAGTCACTTGCAGGCCCCTACCCCCACCCCCGCAGGTGACTTTTAGCAGCTCTGAAATCTCCACACCCCGACAGCCTCCAGCGGAAAGAGTGCCCAAAGATGCACATTGAGCCTTCCGGCTGCACAGCACTCAGCGTGACTCGGGGCAGGCGAGAGCAGAAACGGTATTGACTTTGTAAAAACTACCAATCACACCTCATAACCCCACTCATCTACAATAGACCTGCATTGCCAGGGTCACCCTAGGCGCCAGGTGGCCTGCTCTGCCCCCACAAGACGCAGAGGAGTTTTTGTATAGCTGAGGACAACCTAGAGAGAGCTTGGTGAACTTAGCCAAGACTGGCACTGGTTTTTGTTTCTTTGTTTGTTTTTTTGTTTGTTTGGTTTTTTCTTGGTGTGTTTTTCGTTGTTGTTGTTTTGGCTTTTTGGGGGTGTTTTGGGGTTTGTTTTTTTTTTGGTTGTTTTTGTTTATTTCTATTTTATTATTATCATTTTTAGTTTTTAATATAGGCATATATATAGGCATATATATGTGGATATATATGTCCATATTTATGGGTGTGTGTGTATGTATATATATATATATATATATATATATATATATATATATATATATACTCTTTCTTTTCTTCTTTATTTTCTACCCCCTCTCTCTACCTTCTTTTCTTTTTTCTTTTCACTGCTCTACTTTTCCTCTTTCCATTTTTCTGCAATTTTTTTTGAGTGTTGCTATTTTGTCTGTCGATTTTATTATATTTTATTTTATTTTGTTTTGTTTTTTGTTCTTTGTTTTTTTTGTTGTTGACGTTTTTCTTTTGTTTGTTTGTTTTCTTCTTTTGTATGTTTGATATTTCTGTACATGTTGAGGGTAGGTTATTGGTTGTTTTTTACATGTGAGAGTATTTAGTTTCCTTTGGTGGCTATTGTGGTTGTGCTTGTTGATCTGTTTTCCTCTAAAGTCACTCTGCAACAGGGCCCAGACAAAGAGGCACAAGAATCATCACACCCAGAGGCCAACTTTAGATAAAACCAGAGCACTATGGGGTTTGACCTACAAAAGTCACACCTAAAGGGAAATTGCTACAGGCACAAGAGCCCATAGGGGCCAAGCCTCATTAGAGGGGTCAACCCTCACACAGTCAATCCCACCTACTGACAAGCCAAAAGCAATCAAAGCTCAATTTCAATAGGAGAAGACACACAACACAAGGGACACCTCTGGCACAAATGCATAGGAGAATAAGAAGACTGAGTAATTCAAATATAAAGGACACATACCACATAAGTCCACCTAGAAAAGACTGAGAGACCTAGGGGATCAACCAATTACATTGAAGCAAGCACAAAGAGTAAACCAGAATGGGGAAACAAAGAAACACATCCCAAATAAAAGAACAGAGGAAACCTCCTGAATCAGTGGAACTAGAGGAAATAGAGATAAGCAACCTATCAGAGACAGAATTTGGAACACTGATTATTAGGATGTTCAAGGAAATTAATGAGACTATAAAGAAGGATAAAGAAATCATGAAAAACAACCAGCTAGAGCTAAAGAATACAATTACGGAATTAAATAACAAACAGTGGAATTACTAGCAGATTGGATGAAGTAGAGGATCGAATCAGTGACTTAGAAGACAAGAAGCAGAGGTCATCCAAGCAGAACAACAACAACAAGAAAGAATAAAAAATACTGAAAATAATTTAAGAGAGCTAGGCAACAACATCAAGCACAACAACATGCGCATCAGAGGAATACCAGAAGGAGAAGAGAGGGAGCAAGGGGTCAAGAACATATTTGAAGTAATAATGTCTGAAAACTTCCCTAACCTGGCAAAGACAATTGACATACAAGCACAGG